AGAGACTTTAAGATCAATTCAACTTTATTTATTTATCTATTCAGATTAAAATCTGATTTGTGCAGCAGCTGAAAGTAAAGATGTAACCGTACGTGTTCTTAATCTATATTTTCACGCATTATTTTCAAAATCGTTCATTATCTTTTAGTAATAAAAGTTTGTTAGCTATCCTTTTATGAATATTAAGCAATTATTTAACTGTTGTAATTGTAGTATATAGTACACATAATATTATTTATGAATATATGAATGATTCGGACAAAAGAGTAAGATTCACATTGATTTTATCAACGGCGAAATATTTAATTACATCTACAAACTAGTTCAAATCGTTATTCATTGTGTTTATGTCAGCTAAGCCAAAGGCGATAATAAGATATAATTGGAAATCTCTCATGAGAAATTAGTATATCTAATCCACAACTCTAGTAAATGATAAGCTACACTAAATTATCCCCAAAAGTTGGTGATAAAAATCTCACTAAAATTGTTCAAGAACTTCATGAAATCCATCTCAGTCAATGATATTTAGATCATAAAATCATCTGTTCTATTTAAAAACTGTTTTTGACTACTTCCTCAGGCAATTCGCTTGAGTCATCTATTAGTCACTCATTAACCACATCACTCTGTCTTATCTCTCTTGATGTTTATCTATATGCAACCGGAGGAGATTTAATTTTTAAATCCCTACTGATTAAATTATCATTCTAAGTGATACCAATTACTGACTGATAAAAATTCCACAGGTATCAAAAAATGGCATGTTTTCATCACCTATATTATTGCGTTAATGTACAGCACAAGCTTACCAATTTAATCTTATAACCAATTACTAATTTAGTATAGTTCGGAATAGATTAAATCCGAAAACGCATCCGGTTATCAATCATGCATTTATCATTTTAAGTCAAATATCAATCTACTAGAACGCTTTTCAGACAAAATCTTGATTATAACACTTGGTGCCTCTTATATATGCAATATTCAAAGAATTGATGATGGTATTATTCACAAAGTTTCGATACGATTATTTGATACTACCTGTGAAAATAAAAACAACCCTATAAATATTAATAATTGGCATTTTCATTTTTCTATAGTATGTACTGAAAATTCACTTATGATTAGGCTAACGATCACTGATTTCAGTTACTTTAGTATGAAATATCATTTAATTGTATGATGAATGACAGGAATATTTCCTTTAGACTTTAATAATACAAAACATAAAAATAATGAACATTGGATTTTGAGAAATACACCCTGAATTAAGTCACTAATAAGTAAATAGCTATTATTTTAAGTTTATTTTTGGAAACTTGTTCTTTTTGAAGATAGACTTATGTTAAGCGACCTGACTGCTGCTGTAAACAAATGGACACAAGAATGTAGTTTTGTTTTATCTTTTTTGTTTCCTCCTTGATGGGTGCTTTATAAGGAAAAGATCAAAATCTAGGTATTTTAGTTGTCGTGATCCATCCATCAACTATTGAATTTCATCTGCAAAGTTTTTAAAGTGTTGTGCTTTCTGCAGAACTTAAAGGTTCTAAATTCGATCTCCAACATGGTCACATATACTACTAAGTAGTAAATATGTGGAAAAAGATAAATGTTAGGTACTCTTTGCCCAGTAGTTTTATAGTTGATGTCAATCGATGACATAAAAACTATATTCATTTGTGGAAATTCATTCAAACAATTTTTATCCAGTAAAATATTGTACACAATTCAGTTAGACTCATTAAATATTTGAACAAATAAGACATAGGACACGTTTGTGCTGTTTACGTTTTGTGTGAAGATTGTGCACATTTAATGAAACTATGTAGTGAAATAAAATGACCCAGGGTTCAGATATCATCAGTCATTTCTCGGAATACAGAGGATGAACGTTAAGAAAGTTGCTAACTTACTTTAATCATCCGCATACAAGAAATACTGAGAAAACGTTGCACGGCTGAAGGTTTAAGTTAAACTACAAACTCTTCCAACAAACACTTATTTCACCTAAGTATTCGAATGACGAAATTTAAGTGAACAGGAAACGCACAGTCATACTTTTATATCCTCGAGTTTACATCATATTATTATCTCTACGTACATCAACAGTTTGAGTATCTGCTCACTGTTATGAACTAAAACATGTTGTGAAAATATACATTTGCTCACCCTTGCAAATACTTAAGACACCAAATTTGCATCTAGAGGAAGGCGAAACGTTTTTCTATGAGTGCTCAAAACAATACTTTCAACAAAAGACTTCGTGAATCATTATTTTTTTATTAATACAAAGTCTGGCGATCCAATATTTTGACATATTACAGATACGTCTACTTACCGTAAGTTTTCAAGCAACACAAAGACGGAATCCGGAATAAATTCACTGATTTTTCCGGGGATACCCACATGTAAGTAGAGAGGATGATCAGTACTGGGCCTTCAGCTAAGTTCCGTTTCCATCTTACCAAGTCTAGTTCAGGTATTCTAACAGTAACTCTACCTCGCATGCATTAAATGTAGATAAAGGCTAAAACCACGGACACAGACGTTGTACGTATGTTACTTCTGACTTACTAATTGTTCGATTGCAATGAGAACAATCTAATGAGCACGTTCATTAATATGCTACATCTTGATCATGGGTTGTGGACGCGGATTATGAGCAAATACAACAGTTGAAAATCACTAATGCACCGAACAAACAGCAATGAAGCGAAACAAAAATGGAGAGAATAAATTCCGTAATATATCTCGAAAAGTTAGCATCTACAACAGATTCTTAACGTTTTTCAAGTTAGTACATTCAAATGGTTTACATGAACAAAGTTATCAATAAATTTGGTTTCACGATGAAAACATAAGTTTTTGTTTAAAAATACTGTAAGGGTAAATAAATTCAAGAAAAAAATATTCATTAGTCTGATTTATGTTTATAATACGATCAGACGTTAAAGTTGAATATAGTAGCTGAAGATACCAGAAACAACTATACCAACAAATGTTTCACAAAACGTATCGGATCCTTCTCTACCCAAATCAGCGTAACGAAAACGCTGTGTCTAGCAATTATCGCTAAATAAAAATATCCTATTGAAACTGATAATGAAAGCTCTTTCCGATACGATGACAGTGGTTCAACAAGGGCACGAAAAACTTTAGGACCTAACACCTACAGTTGCGAGATCTGTTGAAAACACTATCCCAGAGTATAAAAGCTAATTAGTAAATAATCCTAGTAGACTTTTACATTCAAAGATCCTCGGCGCTTGCTTTGTTCAGAAAATCTCTGCTTTTCTAGAATCGTCAACCTAGAAACCAAAGAAATCCCACGCCACTACCAGGAAAAACGTACGGAATTTTAGGATGGAGGATAACAACCCATGACAAATCTCGATTCTTTGTAGACTCTGAAGTTATTGAGAAAAAAGTTCCTGTAAAATTAAGGTCGGTAACCACGAGTTTCAGATTTCTCAGTAGCTGTACTAAATGGATACGGAATATTCCCCACTAATTGTTGAGAAACCATGTATTCACTGCCGATTTTAAAATCTACCTGTGTACCGTATGACCGAAACTGTAAAACGTACACACCATAGTCTTCTTAATCGACTAGTTCTTTACTAGTACCTTATTGAAATGTTGACCCCGGTTTTCAACTACTGGATCTGAAATTACAATGGCGATTCATCCACGGAAATATCACCGGGCTTCGAATAAAAAAGTACACCAACTTAACTTCGGTCTATAATTACAAGAAGCAAGTTGTTTCTTTGGAAGTTTTTAAAATCATACCTGCAGAGCTCCGATGAAACCATTTTACTCGTTTTAACTATATACAGGTAAACGATGGGCCACAGCTACCTGAAAATGATTTACTTGATAATAATTATAGCTTTTAGAAACTAGCAAATAATTTCTGTTTTACTCACTCAACAGTACATTTTCTAGCTTTCAATTTTAACTTTTGCTTGCATACTGTCCAATTTCAGTGAAACTTTTCCGTTGGAAGCTTCTTAGAAGTTTCAGCAATAATTCTCTTTGAATTTCCTATTAGTATCGTAGCACAAATGAGATGCGTTTCCGTTAATTATTTCATGACTATTATTCGAAATGCTCGCTTTCTTACTGGCTGTACAGCTTTTCTCATTTTTATTTACCTAAAATAATATCTTATTCGTACACCTTATTTGTGTAGTGTACTCTTGGAGTTCGATTGCATCGGAATTTAAGTATAGCAAATAAATAAATACTACATCAATTTCTCAACCCAACGTATGAATCTACTAAGACAAAATGTTCAAAACAGTTTATAATGTCGATTATGAGTCAGCATGAAGTACCTTATTCATTTTGTGTCGATTTTTACTTCAGCAAGTAAACCAACCAAATAACTACCTATTCATTTTAGTGACAACTGGGTACCTAATACTTTTGGGAAGTAATTCCGAAAAAGGCTTTATATATAAGATGTTAAGGTATTTTGAGCAGAACTTGAATTACTGATATTCGTAAATAAACATGTTCAAAATAGTGAATTTTGCAATCTTGTTACTAGTATTTACTCATATTTCTAAAGGATAAAACTCGTAAAATCCATCAGAATTACTAACAAAACTTCCGTAACATTGACCTATGAGACAATTGAATAAGGTAAATTTAAACAAAAGAATCCAAACTACATGTGTGCATCAATCTAACCGAACGAATGTAATCCAAGATAATAAGAAAAGTAACGATGCTACAGTTAAACAGGCAAATTACGTAAAATCATTTTCTTTTTCAAGTGTATGGTAAGAAGAGGATTTATAGTACTGAACATTTCATTAAATAACTCAATTTCAAGTTACTTTCTTTACTAACCTTTATTTTAATACTCGTTAGTGGATTGAAATTAATATCATGAAAATACACTAATATAGCTTAAAATAAAAACCTAATAAAACTAAACGGCATACCTACTACTAATTAGGAAACTATAATGATGTATACAGACACAAAAAAAAACCAACTATTATTTATATTTCACAAATTCATCATCATATAAACATTATCATAAAATACTCTAACATTCTATAATGATAGGTAAATGAAAGAATTTTCAGAATACGTGCAATAAAATAAATGATTCATATTCAACATATAAATAACTCCATTATAATCATGATATTACTTCACTTAGTTATTTCACTCTTCTATAAATTCTGTAAAGAACTGGAGAAAAATTTAAACAAAATAAAACGAAGGAATCGAAAACTAAATGAACAAGGACAATTACAACAACAATAATTAGAATAGAGATTGAAACAAACTTCCATTTATTTTTTTTTCATTTAAACAATACAATTCACAAACAAAATACAAATTCAAGTCATATAATACAGACAGAAATGATTACGTCTAATCCATGTCATCATCATCATCATCATTATTCATGGAGGTAAAATTAAGTTATTCTCGTTTCCTTAACATAATGAATTTTGTCATTGGTATGTTCATCTATATTTCATTTAAACAGCATTAAAAAACACCAAACTGTGAAATTGTTTAGCTGAGGAAAAGATAAATAATGATAGTGGTTGTAGTAATATCAAGATTGGTAGTAACAATCATAAACTAGAATTCCGAAAAGAAACAAGCATACATTATAGATTACATATAAACGTATTGCAAAAATGAATTAAACATTTATGTCAGTACCCGATATCTAGAGGGAAGAAAAACTGAACAATCACAAAACAACAACTTAGTAAGTAGCAAGTACAATGAACGGAAAAAAAAAACAAAGGAAAATCAATAAATGCAAAAACTAAACAAGTTAGAAAACAAATGCAAAATGTATATTATATGTTATAAGAATTGAAGAAAAAAACTGTAGTAAAACCATGTAGGTCCATTCGTGTTCACCTACGTGTGTGTGCTTGTGACTGCTGGATCTAGGTGTAGTATGTATGGTAGGTAAATAGATATGCGCAACATCAAAATATATGTACACGGATTGAGAAGAAAAATAGATGTTTGTCATTTTACCATTCACTATTCTACATTTGTTACAAACTTTACCCATTAATAAATAATACAAACACTATCTCTACCTACTGTTGACCGCTATAAACATTGCACAATATGACATGAGAAGTACACTGACATGTACATTTATAACAAAAATACAACTAACATTTTTTTTAAAATGCAAACATTTTCAAAATATGATTGTGAAAAGAAAAATTCAGGTATGATGTAATATTAGACAGACAATTTAAATCCTTTTTCCTCGCTTCATTTCTTAGAAGTTATATAAGCTTTATTATATTACAATCAATGCAATCCATGATTCTGAACGTTAAAAAATTATACATCAATTAAAAAGTATAAACTACATGCGTACAAAGAAGCTAACAAAAACAAAAACAATCACCATCCATAACCACAACTTACAAGTAACAAAAACCGAATTTGAAGTTATACGGATGTCAGTAATGAGCTAAGATAACTACAGACACATTCAATAACTCTGCTTATTCTATGTGATAATCATAAACTATGTAGATTAACAAATGTCATACATAGTAACAATAATAATATTATCATTTCAATGATAAGAAATCTACAAAAAAAAACAAATTATTAACCAGATTCAGATAAATTGAATAAGATTACTCTTTAAGTGAGAGGAAACACTTTTTTGGCGCAGTTACACTGAGAATCACAACATACAATTAATGTAAAAGACAGAAAAAGTTTTTCTTTAAAAAAAAAACTAAAAAAAAATGAATGAATCAATAGAACACATATTGCACATAAAAGAAAGAAAATGAGGAAGAACAGATTAAAAATATCATTAATAATTTAGATTTGATGAATTTCAAAATTAATTAAAAACAGTTATTAATATGAATAAACAATGTTATTAAGAAAAGTAGATATAACAACACAGTGTAATACACAATTAATTCATAGATACAATAAATGAACTAAATGTTTTCTTAACATGATTGTATTGAATTTCATGCTTTTAATCAAATGCAAGTATGAACGATAGAATGTACACATTGTGTTATTAGAAATGGAGGTTGAACAACTATCTCCTACCATATAATAGTAATATTAACACACGGGGATTATAAGAACCATCTCAAAGTTTACATGGAATGCAATTTTCAATCAGAAAGCTGCCATCCTCCAAATCTTTCTTTATGATTTGTAGATAGATGAAGGGTGTAGAAAGTCTAAATATTAAATCTGCTATCGGATTAGAGTTTGAATAAGCAATTATACTCCAAGAATAATAAACACAAATTAAAATAACCAATAGAAATTTAAGAAGATTTATTATTACTGAAATCATTACCAATACCACCAGCACGATCCGGCGCATTAGTATCTTGATTTACATCTCCCTCAACAGTTTGGTCACCAGACTTGGAACCTGCGATTGATTCTAAAGAAGATCCTTGACCTTTGTGATTTGTGAGAGGATAGGAAGGCATTGATGTTTGATGACTTAAGCGAGGACGAGGATGTGTAGTGCTTTGTGGAGGTGAATGTGACTTTTGTGATGGGCGACTAGGAGAAGTAAGAGGCTGTACAGAACTACTAGTAGTGATAGTTGAAATAGTTGATGTGGTAATAGTAGTATAAGGGGGATGAGTGTCTGTGTTTGACTTAGGATCGAGAACCCCGTACATTTTATGAGCCTTTTTGTTCATATGTGCCATCAGTTCACAGGAAATTCGATAACCTTCTAATATTTCTTCTTTCCACTGTGTAATCATTACTTTATCCTGAAACAATAGTAAAATTATAATGCTATTAGTGATTATAGTACATAGAATATGAAATCTTAAGTAAAGTATTTAATAAGCCGAAAGCACCTAGAGAAATATGTAAATGCAAATTTATACGTGAATTCTATACAACAACACGAAGAATTCGAAATCATCAATCAATCATTGTTAGCCGTTTCGGTCTGGTTTGGGACTCATCAGCAGTGCGCATCCACGACTCCTGCTCCTCGCAGGATTCGAACCCGGGACCTTCGGTATTGTGCGCGAATGCCTAACCATCGGACCACTGGGCTGGCATCCAAAAGTGTTAATGTCTAACTCTGATTGAACTAGGGATTTTGCGCGACCTCACCCATTTGTCTTTGGTAGTTACTGCCTACACCCGACAGGGTTGAACTCCATTGGTCATGTCTTCTCAACTAGGACTCCGAGAATTCCCTCACGAAGCTAGTCACTAGTGAGCACTGTTACGATATTTTGGGGCAGAGTTTTGGAGGTTTGTGTTTTTACACATTTCAAATCATCAGTCAATCAAAATCCCTAGATCAATCAGAGTTAGACATTAACACTGTTGGATGCCAGCCCAGTGGTCCAATGGTTAGGCATTCGTGCACAATACCGAAGGTCCCGGGTTCGAATCCTGCGAGGAGCAGGAGTCGTGGATGTGCACTGCTGATGAGTCCCAAACCAGAACGAAACGGCCATCCAGTGTTTCCAGGTTTCTAATAGTGGTCTTACAATGATTGATTGATGATTTCGAATGTGTAAAAACACAAACCACCAAAACTCTGCCCAAGAAAAACAAGAAGAATGTTTTCCAAAACGGTTGACAAATTTGAACTATTCAAACAATGGTTCACTTTAACGGTACCTAGAGGTCTAGTTGAATAGTTCTCAATAGAAAAATCGTTTGTAATACAAAACTACAGATGTGAAATATGTCCAGATTCATTGCAAGATTTGTGAATATTCTGTAGAAAAAAATTGTTGATAACTTTTTCTTAAACAAAGCCGTACATTTTAAGAAAAATATTTCGACTGATGTAAATAAATCAATACGTTAGTAAGCAAAAATAATAAACATTACACCAACTTATGATGAACTGAAGTGTAAGACTGAGCTAAGATACATTTGTGTCAAGATTTATGTTAAATGACTGACTGATTTAAAATCTGTGCGGCACAACAATGATAAGTCAAGGAGTACTTAAGAAATTAAGCTATATATCTCTAACCACATGTAAAACGACACTATAAAGAAAATATGAAGCTTACATTTGAAGTTATGTACAATCGTGTATCATTCTTTAGTTTGATTGAAATGCAATTATCCATCTTACATACACGAGAAAACTCTGGAGAAATTTCTTTGATATCAAGCATTGATATAAGCTAAAAAAATTTCAATATAATAAATGGAAAGAAGATATGTCATTTATTATTATTAGTCGTTTTATTTTTTATTATTATTATTATTCAGTGTCTTATAGTATGGTAACAACAAGAATCCCTAAATACATTAAACTATGATTAGTGGGAAAAACAATTTGTACTAAATTTATAATTAGTTAAAAGAACTACTACTTAAATAATACAGCTTTTAAGATAACAACACGATTTCATCGTATTTCTAAGTTCAAAAATACTTCATAAAAGACATTTATGCCTTCTTTAAAATGAAAATCTAAAAATTAAGTGAGAAAAAGTGATTAAGTATTACAGTACCTAAAGAAAAAGGGAGATATTCCTAATCCCAAGTTTGGTCAAAAAGTTAAGGTGAAACGCAAAATGTTTTCTTTCCGAAAATAATTATCAATGTAATTATGCAAGACTCTAATATTTTTGCATAAGTCATCAAATTTGAATGAGCACATGAACAAATCAGAAGTAGTAAATAACTATGAGATAAAGAAATTAATATGACTCAATAATCAACCTTCAGTCATATTCTGTGTGTAAGCTTATGACAGTTTCCTTGTACTCAAAATCAATATCAGTGGATTGAAGTTCGAACCTGTAACCTACTGGTTGAAAAATGAGTGTAGTAACAATTGAGTCATTTTAAAACGATATATGAACGAAGAAAATTCGTTTCAATAAATTTCCTCTACAACTATATCTCAAAATTAATAATTCGATACACTCCCAGATTTAGGACAAAATACATAGTTTCAACTTATAGCATGTGAAGTAGGGATTACCTATGAAATAAAGTAAGATTGTGGATGTTGAGATACCTAATAAGTGGTATTAACTTGAATAAGCTTATATGTTAAATGAAATTGTGACATCAATGATCAGAATGAATATGGGTCGGATAGGGTGAGAGAAAAAACAACACAATTACCGAATTCGATCAGATGATTACAATTTATTTAGATTCAATAAGAAATATTAAAGTGGGTTGAGTGCTAAGTAAACTAATCATATATTCGGGAGATGAATTGTGATATTAAACCAATAATAATAATAATTGTGGACAACTACATTTGCCTGAGAAGGGTTGTATCCACATGAGTGAAAATGGATCGCTTAATAATTAAGATTATTATTAGTTATCTGGTTCTAAGGTTCGCCGATACTGTAAAAACTAACAAAAATACTATTTGGCGAAAGTTTCAAATTTGGAAATGAACTGGTATTGATTTTTGTAGACACAGTTGCATACATGAAATCGAAATGCAACATGTTGGCACAGAGAAAAACAAAGTCAAACTTAAAACGTAAGTCACACTTACATCAACACCTTTTTTGAGAATTAATCCATCTCTAGATTTGTTGTACAATTCAATACGGTTCGGAAACAAACGTAGATGTTTACGTTGCCATGTTTGCAAAAATGGTCCACCAAGTTTTAAAACATCACCTTCAACAATGCAGTCAGATGCTACGCCATCAACAGTCATACTGTCAGAAAGATTTACACCTGATGCAGTATTTGAGAGTCCGATATTTCCAATGTTTAATAAATTTCCAGTACTTGAAGTAACTCCAGATAAACCACTACTAGAAACATCAGCCGTTTGAGCAGAACGTTGTCGTGCACGAGCTCTTTTACTATCTACCTTGTCTGCTTCTTGATTCACAAAATCAAACACAGTTTCAGCTATTTCTATTTGCCAACGCTCCGACACAACAAGAGAAAAGTTCTGATACAATGCCTGATCAGCTTCTGTAAGCTGAATATTCCAATTATTGGAAAATAAATTTGGAATATTAAAAAAATTGGACAAGAATAATCAAAATTTAAATACAACTTTTGAAAAATACATAGTAGAAATAGTCTTTTAAGTATCATTCGGTATCAAGGTTTGCTTAGGTGATCTTGAATAAATTGAGCATAGGGTAGATTATTAATAACAGAAATTATTTACCATTATTATGCACATTATTATTGGTACAATGAAGCACGCGCTATACAAATCAATCAATTTATGCGTGGGCTGAGTTAATATTAACCAGGTTCCTAAACCTGAACACATGATTTTATTAGAAATACACTTCGCAAGCCACTGACCAACAGGTTTAATCCACAAGCCAGTAAAGCGGCGTTAGGAGATACTTTCCCACGGTAGTCAGTGCCATCAGTAGATTCAGGATTCTGGAGCCCATGTGCACCGTTGGTTCGGAATTAGGCTCTTCCAATTCCTCTAGGTGGATCCTCCCTGCCCACGAACATGGTCTGCGCCCTAGCCAGAAATTTGCTTTTGGTTCTCTTAATTTTGTGAACAACCTCACCACAAGAAGGCAGTGAGTAGAAATTCTCTGGCAGTGACTATACACTGGAGGCTGTATGAGAAAATTCCGAAGGAGAACAAACTGTTTCCACTCTCAGTCGTATCAGGTCATTTGGCAGCAATAATAGAAATAATGATTTATTTGTAAAATCGCAGATATATACATATAAATTATTATCTATGTTTTTAGATACAGTTATATTTGAATATGTGAGTTGTACACAACTATCTGCAAAAAAAATTAAAGGGCACCAAAACTGTAAATATAAGCATTTATATGACATACAAAACAAGTCATAATGACATTTGAATACACTAATATTGATGTGATTTACACTGATTAACAATCAAATTTGTATCTATTAAACTTAGTATTAAGTATGGATTAAAATATTTACTAAACAGACGTAAATATAATAAAATATCATAGAAGTAACTGGAAAAAGAAATTCATATCATCCATCACTAACGCTTTAGTCAATGAACTCTCCTTACTACCATCAGGACAATAATATAAACGAAAAGTAAATGGCAAGAAATTAATAGAACAAACTATATGTTCCTTACACTCTAACAGAAAATCAGTGTGTGATTTAGTGTAAATTTCTTTTACAACTAACTTTGTCATAACTAGATCGTACGGCGTTGTTCACATTACACTTTCAATTAACCAATTTATGTATTTTAGAACATATATATTTCAGTCTTATCGATACTAACTGGAACAACTAAAATTAATGAATCAGAATGAAATTTCTCGCATGAATTTTCAACTTCGCATTGATTTAAACACCGCTTACCTTAATACCTTTGGTATCTTCCTCATCAAAAGAACCAATGTCGAAGGCATCTGCAGCGTTTACTTCACCCCGAGGTGGAATTAAAGGCGGTGGGTACTTTTGTAGATAAACTTGCTGCCAATCGATTCCTTTGAAAAATGGATGCTCTCGAACTTCCAAAGATCTAAAATAGATTTCAATTAAACTTTCAAGTGATTGTATTCATGGAATCAAGCACATACTTAATAAACAATATAAGAATATTTTGTAAACAACCACCACGAAGACGAATGGATTAAAATCAAAGCGAAAATGCAAGTTAGATACACCAGGTTAATAATTTTCAACTGTTAACTGATAACTGATACATTTGAAGATAATACTCCCAAACATTTTAGAAATAAAACTAGTAATTTGTTTTAATCACTCAAATGTTTACCTGATATCGGTAAAATAGTTTCATCTGTAGGAAAGATAAAAAAATGTCTAACAAATATCATAAAACATATTCTAGAACTCAGCACCAAAATAAATATGGATTTCCAACTCATTGAGTCCGAACAAAATCCCTCAAACGTTTTTAAAATATCTAAAATTAAACTGTTGTCGGCGAAATGACACTCACAACCGATCTCTTTAACTCAATATGAGGTAGATATTTAACTGTGTCTAAAATGAGACTATGAAAGCAAACGAATAAACAAACAGACCAACAACATCTTAGATAACTAAAACCTTTGTAAAGTCATGCAATAAAACAAACATTTAACAAATTTATTTCCAGATGTAAAATGTTCGTCGTTTAAAACAACTGCCGAGAAGAAACTATAACAATATCAAAAAATTATAACAGTAGAGTGGAACAAGAAGAGAGGCTAATCCAAGGAATGTCTGCTGTTAAAATGATAAAATGGGATGCTACAAAATTATAGTCACAAAAATCTTGTATTTAAGTAAATGAATTGTTTTTCAAAAAATATGCTATCCTTAAAACTATGAAGTTATGTATACTAAACTTCTGATTAGTAAGCTTCCTTTTGCATGATAACGAAATATAATTTGCGGACAAAAAGACACTGAATAGCAACAATGACTATATATCATTAATGTGTTTCCATATTTTAAGAGCACCTTAATGTTGATCATATTCGGGATGCGATTTTCCCCCTCGAAATGCAAAATGTTGCTTCAGGATTGGGTTTCATCGGTACCTGAACTAGTGATAGGGAGTGAAGTAGTTGAACGTGTTGACCGCTTCACTTATCTGAGGAGTCTCATCAGTGCTGATGGCCTGGTGACTGACGAAATCTCAACACGGATACAGAAGGTTGCATTAACTTTTGCCAACTTGCGTCACCTATGGCGTAGGCGAGATATCCGTTTGCTAACCAAAGGACGAGTGTGCCGAGCAGCAGTTCGCGCAGTCCCACTATACGGATTCGAAACATGGCCGGTAAGAGTAGAGGACATTCCTAAGTTACTAGTCTTTGATCATCGATCTCTCCGAAGCATTGTTCGTATATCCTGGGACGATCGTATAAGCAATGCTATTGTTAGGAAACGAGTTCTAGGTAAGGATGGCAAATCAATAGATGAAGTGATGAAACTTCATCAGTTGAGGTGGTTGGGACATGTGTTACGTATGGCTAAACCCCGACTGCCTCGATGAGCTATGTTTTGTGGTGTAGGAGTAGGTTGGAAGAAAGTTAGGGGCGGACAAACCAAAACATGGCACAAATCCATAAAATCACTGACAAGTGGACTGAGTCATGTTGGTAGATGTAGGCTACCTTGTTGGGGTCAGTGAGACGAAAGTCACCAATGGTTAGAGACCTTGAATAACGTGGCTCAGAATCGTTCGCAATGGCGCAGGTGCATCCACTCTTTGTGTTCTCTCTAATTATAACCTTCTGAATTCCTTATCCTCTCTATCTTCCTCCTTCTAAATTTATCTGACTGAATTATACTTCTCGAATCATATCTTCGCTCCCTAATCTTCTCCATTACTGTTAATACTTCTACTATCGCTATCACTTTTGGATTTGAACTGACAGTTGCGTCTCTGTGCTGATGTGGTATGGCAACCTGAACTCATATACTCATGCACGAAGTTCTGCGTTGTATCTGTCTGTCTATCTATCTATTAATTTTGATCAAGTTTTGGTTGATGGACTAGAAAATTCAATCGCAAAAACTTGACTGTTTTTCTGAACAGTATCTGGCAAAAACTTCAGATGGAAGTGAGGAGATTCAATTTTCTCACATATGACTGACAGTTTATCATGGTGACCTCCATCGTGATTGCTTGTAATACATGTGGAAACAATGACCGGATGAAGTTCGACAGCAACCAATTAAGATCAAGGTCAAAAGGACAAACTGACAGACACATAGAAAAATTCAGAGAGTTCGCTTCAACGTGAAGATTTAGCTGATGATGCTGTCCAGAAGGACAATGAAAGCTCCAAAATTGAACCTACTGGTTCTGAGAACGAGACGCCACAACGATCATTCACCTGAGCTACAAATTTCCATCATCCCAAGGCAAATTAATATAACTTTACTGCACTACATTTTGTATGTTCCGTCTTAATACAAAAAGATCTATACAAATAATTCACGTTATTTAAAATACAGTTGATACCCAACCACATTTGGATGATGAGACGTACCACTGTAATTTAAACCGTTAGTAAAATAACTAATTTAAGTACAGAAGATGCCAACTAAAATATACAGAAAAGGTTTTCAATCTTCTCAATACTTATTATCAATAATTCATGAAGGACTGTAGGAAATATATTTTGCTGGCATCAAGCAATCATCTATTCATTTGGAGGTATAAAAAGGAATTGGATTTGTCCATACTTTCACAAAAAATGCCTACTCTTGAAATATCTTACCCACGACCCATACATCCGAGGCGATTGCAAACGTCACGTGCCAACAAACCTTCCAACAAAGACCGCATTTCTGAGGACATACCGTCTGGAATATCAAGATTCTGAAAATGTCGGAAAATTAATGGAAAAATTTTAATGACATCAGACTACAAACAAAATAATACAGCATTTATTACCGAATAGATTTAATCACCGAAATATCACATGAACATTGACGATTTAAGATTTATTAAATTATTTTAATAACTTTCCATGTTTTTATTACATTAATCACTTTAGATTTACAATTATAATGATTGGATTACACTGTCTATAAACTTGAGTTCAAGCTACCAGTCGCACATCTGATGGTTCTCATACTTGCTATAAATCGTGCAAAGGCAATTATGATTGAATACAAAAAATCTGTGCTCTTTTTTCTTCTACGACAGGGCTGACTACTGAACGGTACACTGCACCAACTGAAGTAGTGGGGTAATTTATCAAATGCTGAACTACTGTATATTTCAGCCCTATTCTACTTGGCTCGGTATGAGCAGTTACGCAGTATTGTGAAGAACAAAGACGTGGGCAAACGAGAATGAAAGTGCATTGTGAAAAATCACATATTGTGTTTGTAATATATGAAAATAATACACTAAATGTAGTATTTGCACATTTTCTTTGAGTTGACCTTTACAATATCCACCTTTACATATCCACTCTGATTATTCTCTGTTACTTCCTCTTCTCATTTCTCTCTTCTGCAAATGAGAATCCTACTACCTGATGCCATTAAGTACTACTTATACTTATCCAGATGAGTAGCGAACACCACAGTATTACTAGCTCTCACATACAAGTGAGTGTGAAAACATTATGCTTCTCAAATTATCTCTTACTATTTGAAAGGCTTCGTTCCTACAGACTTTTCCTTCCTGGGCTCATACTATTTTCTGCATAGTTATATGGGAATCAATATTCCATTACTTTACTAATTTAAACGGCATATTTTGAAAATAACCACTTGGAATTCATTCAAAAAACTGTAGAGGAAACTACTTTACAGCACAAAATCTTACCATGGTCATTGTCATTCTATCAATCTCATGCTTGTCCTTTGTCTTATGATGTCGGAATGGACTATGACCTCTTAACAATTTGTATAACATGCATCCAAGTGAAAACCAATCAGCTGAAGAATCATATGGGCAACCTTTCAACAGTACCTCAGGAGCCATGTAGCCATGGGTACCAACGCTGGCATGAGGTTTGCGACGTGAAAAATCACAGGCTAATCCCAAGTCACTGATTCGAACATGACCATACTCGTCCAAAAGTATGTTTGCAGGCTATTTTTTCAAGAAAAAACAAGAGGTGTAAATATAATTCAAAATACAACTGAAAGAAATCTTCTACATTAGTGGCAAAACTACCTGATAAGATTTCGACCTTGAAATAATAATACTTTAACCCAATGTATTACCTGACTATAGTTGAAGCAATAGACTAAGCGTACGGTATTTGAAAAACTAGAAAAGCATAAAAAGTTTTATTACAAGTGAAAAATGTGAACTTCAGTACCCGATGTATCGTAAGTAGAATTATAAACTTCATTTATAATAACTTTCGAGCACCAAGCGCAATAAAAGCTGTCATGTACCAGCAATATAGGACCATAACTGTCAATCGCAAAACCACAACTTTGAAACCAAGTGTGTAACATGGTTTCAGCACTTACTATCAGAAAATTAAGAGTAAATGTGTTGATGTTAAATCCACGACCAAATAGAACAGTCGTAAAGAATCTGAGTTAGCATTCGAGCACCGATTTAGAGTGAGTTTGGTATACTAACTTCAGTACTAACTGATTTTTATTCATTGAATTTCAGTGAAATTTTAACCACATTAACTCATTCAGGAAGAACTTATTTTTTTTGTGTGATACATTTTGCATTGTACGTACTGTCATTTTAAGCTTAAGTGATAATTATTCAGTATATGGTTGAGAAAATCGCTGTGTTGCATTAAAATCATGAACTGATCAATATTAGACTATTATTGGAGACCTAGAAACAGTGGACGGCGTCTCATCCTAGTACGGGACTCATCGGAATTGCGTATTCACGACCCTACTAGCGGTAATCGAACCCTGAACCTTCAGTGTCACACAGAAACGAATCCTGTACTAAGACAAAGCGGCCGTTCAGTGCTTTCAGGTTTCCAATGGTGGTAAAACATTAATCGGTTCAGTCTGGTAAATTTTGTGACTAATAATCATTGAACGATTGATATGTAATCGATCAAACTTGAATGCAAATTAATACTTTTCAGATCACCAATACAGCTCTTCCTCGTTTTATTTCATCGCACGAGCGATTATCTTTGAAGTTTGATGTATTAATCGTACTCATGTACTCATGTTGCACAAGCACCGTCTCATAATGGAAGAAATTCCCAATTACTCGCTGATAACCAAAAAAACTGAACCTAAACTTAATTTAGAACTGATTCATAAACCTGCTGGATGCTATTATATTTAAAAATAACAACAACAAAAATAATAACAAAAAAATATTTATAAGGGTCCCATTAGGATTCTACCTAGAGAATCTTAACAAAAATGTACTAATACACTATTTATAACTCAGTATTAGTAACTGTGGTTACGAATATGGAAAATATCACTAGATAAGAATAGAAATCTAGCAATTCAATCACCGAAATTCTTTATTCAACGTTAAGAATAAAAGTGAATCGGAATTAGTTTTCACGTTTTTAAGGCCGAAACTTACTCGACCTTTTACATGAAGTTTATCTGATCAGATTAACTCCGTCTTCAATATGATATCCTCAAATACAATAAGTTTTAGTAACAGAAAAATAGGTATCCAAATGGTAATAGCTTAAAATATTGGGTTGGTATATTTACCTTCAAATCTCGATACACGATGAAACGATTATGCATATGCTCCAAACCCAATATAACTTCAGCTGCATAAAAACGTACTTCTGATTCAGAGAAGATGTTATGCTGAGTAAGATGATAGTGTAAATCACCACCATTCATTAAATCTAATATAAAACATAATTTTTCCGGGGTTTGAAAGGCGTAAGTCATACAAACTATAAAAGGACAACCATCCTATTTTTTGTAGAAAAAAAGGAAGATAGAAACTTTGGTAAATACAACATTGAGCAAATAAAATTAATGATAGCTCATCATCAGTCGTAACCCATTAAGATTTTTATTCACCAGAGTAATTATGTAATCAAAGAGAAATCTAAGATAGAATGCTTTTTTTGTAAACCGAATAATTTATAAGCTTGCACAAAAGGGAAAAATTTCCACTTTAGTAATCGAACGTGTAAGCTTCCATGCTTCAAAATTTTTCTTGACTGTAGGGGAAGTAAACATTCAATTCAGAGTCGTATTTTAGTGTAACTGATTGATAACAGCTAATCAACCTTCAATGTGATTTTTCGTATTTCGTAAGATCTATTATGAGGTACAGAATTATTGTTTTTATGCACTTTACATCTATAAGATAAAAGAAATAATTCCGATATTTGTACTGAGAAAACAGCTGTACGATTCATCCCAGTCCATATATATGAAACACCCTAAAATGTTTCGAAATGAGTTTTCGAAAATCTGTTTTCCTGCCACTCCCATTTGCCTTTCTACTCTATGTAAATTTGTATCTTCTCAAAACTGATTCAGCAACATTAACTGCGTTTATCTTAAGCATTAAAAATCTGAAATGGTAAATATACGATTATGTTTTAACACACTTCCAATTATTTTCGTTGTTGCCTCATATAATGATTGACTCAATGGATATGCTGGAATAAAGTCTGATCAGAAAGACTAAGTAAAAAAATACTATTTATTCAAATATCCTATTCTGATCATTACAATGGGATAACTTTAGAAGTTCCAAATTCAGTCATAAAGTCGAACGTACGTGCGGAAATGGAAGTCCTGGAATAAAACTGAAGCGCTTAGTAATATATATCGTGTGGATAGAGTAAATTATTGAATGTATTTAGGTTGTCCTGAGTACTAGCGATTAATTCCTAATCACTTATTTCCAACAAAAGTATGGCTTCAACTCAGTATGCAGCAGTAAGTATCACGTTGTTAGAACCAGAAACTGACACATTCAAACGATAACAAACCATAGAGCTCAGGAAAATTGTCTGCATAAATGTATACTACTGAATAAAACATTACAAACTCTCTAGAGATTTCAGCTTAAATCATTCTCTGCACAGAACAAAATATTGACGAATAAGATTTATGACTTACGAGAAAAAATACAAAGTTCAAATTACGAGTGAAAATCATTAATAACGACTAGAGACACGGAGTAACTTATTCTTGGGTGTCAGAGTGGCGAGTCGAGTTAGGCGAGAGTTCAGTATCTCCATCTATCGTTTTAAATATTCTATTGAAACAGCTTGATTTATTTTTTGATTACTAGGCAAAACAATGTCTTAATGGATGGATCTCTAATTAGCAAATAACCGAGAAGATATTGGTAGTATAAATCAGTCATACAAACGAATTCTTACGTTAGGTCTAGAAGCAGATACATGAGATAAAAGAAACATCGCTACAAAACAATACATATGCATCTGTCTTTAAGGTTATGATCGTTAAGTTGACTTCAGCATTCGAACTATCCAAACATTTACCTCCCCATCTTTGATGACTCAGTGAAAATATTGCTATAGAAAGTAAATTTGTTATGGTCCAGTTTTAGCTAAGTAAGTCAATATATCAATGTCATAGTAAATCCAACAGAAAATACTTTTGAACCAAAATCGTACAATCCATCCAATAATTTGTTACCCAGACCCCAACTTTTAGGCGCAAACAAACCGGAGAATTTATTCTCGTTTCAATGGACAATGATATATGGGAGGAAAGCGTGAATTTTAAAAATTTTTACTAGGTATTTGAGAATCACCGACTCAAGATGCATATATAATACTTCCTGGTTTGACGGCACGCTGTGGGTTTGAAACCTTAAATGGCGACTGTTATCTCTTCATTTTTGGCTGATCTGAGTAAAGTTCTGATAGAATAATGGACCTTACAACGAGTTCCCTCTTGGACTGAACTGTACCTGGATTTATATGGGTTCAGCAGATGTTTTACTGGATGTCTTTTTCTATCAGTGCATCCCCGCAGCAAGAGCGATCGCCACAAGTATTTAGATATACGTACAGTTGAACCACTGGTCCACTAAAGCGGAACTAAGTGAGTAGTATTGAGTAATACAGATATACGGTACTACACGTAAGACGATAAATTGACTGAGACCGTAAATTCTTATCTACTGAGATATTTAGAACAAGGGTTATACATTACCAACAACTGCGAACGTCGAAATGCAATGAGAGCTCGTGTAGGTGTGGATCAATATAAAATCAGGGGAGTCGGAAAAAAATATGAAATAAGTTTATGAAGTCACTGACTGCTGGATAGTGCTGCGCAGATAGCATCAGAATACCTGGTTTGGGTTCACATAATTACAATAACCAATAGTTGGAGTCGCTGGGTGACACAGTTTAAAACAGGTTAAGTGGTGAAGACCCAGTCACTCCTTTCCTCTTTCAGGTCTGTATTTTCCAGTGCGTAATCCTTTTCACCGTCACTAATACTGGTTATCTTGTTAATTTCGCTAGGATGTGATGTGGCGACTTGAGCGGGCATATGTGTCAGATTCTATGTTGATTATTGGCTAACTTTGTAGGAACATCAATACCTAAAAAGCCGTGAACCGAAAGTTTCACCTTGTATATGGCTACTCACGAACCGACGTACAAAATTATCAACACTACGTTATGCTGAAATAAAAAGACTAATGATAAAGAACAAATACTTACTCCTGTGCTAACAAGTGAAAGCATAATACGTTCATTGAGGGCTAAAGTTTCTCCCCCCTTCATTTTGATCCTCTTTTTGTCCAGACATTTCATAGCATACCTACATAAAGAAAGGATTACATGATCAGTCAACTTAGACCAAAGATAATAAAGTGCACTGAAACATTTCTTTAAATATAACACATTAAGGTACCTTTTTCAATGGATTTGTGGTGAACTAACTACATGAAGTCGTCATTTGCCTTCACCCTAACTCCCCTTGAATGATAAGTGTAAAGAATTTTCGGTGACATCAGGTTTAACAACTTTTGAGATGAAATTACACAGTTCAATGGTTTATAATAGAGTAGTAGACCGAGAAATTCAATCTTTAAAACAAATACGAACACGATTCGAAATCTACTTACTAATAAAATTTACTAGACGACGTTTATCAACAAACTTGATGAAATCCAACAAATACTATATTGAAGTACACAAGCCTTTGTAGGACTGAAGGAGTTATGTTGAGAATAAATGTGTTAGGTAAAGAAAGTTAAGCAGATAAAGAGGTTTTAATAGTTGAAGCGGTTTATATATGCATGATAGATGCCCAACTACTTGTAGCCGAATTGAAGCTGGATATCATGAGTATCAAATCAATTACAACCAATCCGTCAATTCTATATCACTGACTTCAACAAAGCGGTAAAGTGTATAGCCCCTGGTCATTAAATTTCCCCGGACGATTAATAGATAAGGCTATCAACAAGACATATATATATATATATAATATCAAGGGATTTCTGGTGTTGATACACATACAAGTTTAGATAAGGACATTGGTGTTTGAGCGTAAAATATAGGAGTAATCTTCCTCGGATACTTTTATTAACAATTGATTTCAGACAGGAGCAAATAGTAGTGGCAAAAATAGTGAAATATAGGATTACCACTATTTCGCTGGGATGCCACACAAAAAAGGAAGTTACTAACAATTGCAATTACACAGCACGTTTGAACTTCAGAAAACTTTGCAACATATGACACGACTGGCACACCTACAGTCCGGCTAGTAAGTCATCTTAGATATCAATATGTACTGCAGTTTTTGGGGCTTAATGGGAACAGTATTAATTACACAAAAGTTTGAGGCTACAATAATGAAGATAATAATAAGTAACACATAAAGTTGAAGTTTTCACATTCCTTGAATGAATTCAGTTGATCTATCTTCTTTAATAATAACACAAATCTACACCCTACGGAAAACAATGGATAAGTAATAAATACCCTTACTTTACGGGACCATCAAACACCAGATAATTTGAAATACAGAGAAAGTTCTTAACTAAGGTTTGTAACCCCACAAAAGAGATGAAAGACACACAGCTATTCTACACCCATTTCAGAAAAATGAAAGTTGGTATAACTAAACTTTAGCTAATACGTACTTACATTTTACCAGTATCTGCTTTACGGCATCCGTAAACCTCACCAAAACCACCACGTCCAATAATACGATGTACGCTAAAATCGTTTGTTGTTAACTAGTAATATTAAATAAATAAAACTAATTAGTTAATATAACTATACGTTAATATTTAACTCCAAATCCTTCCATTGACAAAATCGAGTGAACTTATTACTGTTGACAAAAAGCAACGGGTAAATAATGAAATATTAATCTACCTTCTAAGGAAATTTTCAAAAACATCACCACGAAGGGACTGGAGGATTTCATCTTCATACAACTAAAAAGTCAGGAAATCATTTAAAAGTAAAACCATACAAAAAATGTATCTGCAGGTAGTTTTTTAGTCTTCTGAGATAGCGTAAGTAGTTCATGCACATGATCAACGGTTGATTTAGAGAATTTCTGTCAAAATTGAAAATTACTTAACCAGACAACCATACGTGATTATGCGATAAAAGTTCTTTCATAATATGTTGATCATATATTTCTCGGCCAAACTTAATACGCTCTTCATCTGTGTCTAATTTTTCAAACTTTTTAATCTATAAGTTGTAAGAATTAAATACACAAAATTCGTCTTACGTTTTCATAAAACGTAAGTTGGGGAACAGGTTCTTCACTTACATTGAGAACGAAGTCCCGAAACAACAAGTAACCTTAAGTGGAAGAGAGTTCTTAGATATATATTTAGTCAGTTAACATACCCAACTTCTCGTTGAAAATTTTGTCAAAGGTCATTTGATTGTTCTTTTCCAAGTACTTGGTCATGATACCACGGATGCTGAAAGTATAAGTGCACAAATTTATAATAATTTAAAAACATTGAAAAACACTCTAATGTTGCTCAATATTTCAATAAGAAATAAGTGAAAAAATGATGTTTGAATTACCAGTGTTTCCCAGATCGACATTGGAACTTCTGACAATCAAAATTTAATCTACCCGCCATAAGGATCTGCTGATGAAAAATTAATTGGCCCAACTGCAAGGAATTCAGTTGTAAGAATAGAACAAAAGCAGGTGCGAATGTGTTGGGGTAATGTTAGTTTAATAACTAACAATTATTTATGAATAACCATCTGGACCAAAATTGTCGTCCGCATTATATGTGTTTATGCCAACTAACTAACAAGCGAACATTGAATGGTAATACTGGTCTGTACATATGCTCAAACTACTTTAATAAAAATAAGTTGAGATTGAGATACTAAAGAAACACTGCGAACCTGATTTCCCCAAACATAGAAATAAACAAAAGTCCAATCGGTTGTAGAGTGAGAATGAAATGCTTACACTCAAAATAAAATAAGGACACATTATGAAGACCGTTTCGTTACAACTCGACTGTATAGAGCTAAATGTTTTGGAAACTACTTCGTCATTTAAAATTTTGTGTAGTTCATCAGTTTCTAACCGATGCACAAAGATGAAATGATAGTGCAAACAAAACAGAAGAGTAGTAAAATAAACAAATAAATGAGCAAGAATAGTAGAGTTCACTTAGTATTACAATGGCTACAGAGATAACTCGAATCAGCATAAGCCTCCCTAACTTTCATTTACGTAAACTAATTTCACACCATTATGAGCATATACACATGGACGAAACTTGGATAGTCTCCATATCATCGTGCAATACAATAATATGGTCGAGGTATAAAAGTCCGTCTCTACATAAAATTTGCGGTATCACTTATTTTCGGAGCTTCCTTTAGAATATTATCAATTGCAAAACTGAAAGCGAATGATGAGATTAGACAAATTGTCAAGTTTCAGTATTGCGTTGCATAAATGGAGATAAGTGACTGCATACTTTCATACTTTCATACCCTTGAGGATATTAATGAACACACACCCTTCAACAGACGAACTTAGGACAAGAATTCAAACTAATTTTTTACTACACCAATTAGTAAAGAAGTGTAACACATAAATCCTACATAATATAAACAAGAGTACGGACCCAGCTGATGAAATCAATAGTTTCTCCAAGTTTGGGAGAGAGGAAAAGCAATTTATCCCTTTTCAGGTAACCGAAACTGATAATCTAAGAAATAAACAGAATATGATAATGTTTTGAAATGACTAACTGTAAGAAAGTCCGAAAATTGTTTCTGATAGTATAAGAGAAATATTATAAATGAATAATCGGCATATAAACGATTATGAAGGATTCATTCTGTGTTGCTACATTTACTACTTTAAGACCACTGAATTAAAAACACAGAGTCACTTGAAGAATAAGTCTTAAATTCGCGTTAACTACTGAATAGGTTTGCCAACAGTACCTACAATAAACGACCTAGTGCTTATATTTCCTCGAAATTTACCGGAAATTATAGACAGATAAAAGAACCACTAACAGTTATCAGGCAAAAAATGTGTCCCTCATCATTAACCAGTGTCCACGCTGAAGTACAGTGCTGACTAGCATAAGAGTAAGCGCAATCAAACGGAAACATTTTAAATCATCAAATTCAAACTAAGCCCATTAACCTTCGTGGAGCGTAAGCCACCGACTACGATTCTCCAAACAATTCTGTCCTAGGCTTTTCTTTCTAGCTTTTTCCCAGAGGCTATTCGTCTTTTTATGTCCACCTCCTATTCCCGGTGCAATGACATTTCACTAGTCCATGAAGTTATGAACTAAGAGTTTGATACATTTGGGAAAACTTCGACTTCATGGTTGGGTTATCGCAATCTAAAACTAGACACATTGTGACGTGGTTCTAAATCAATTATGGTGGTGCAATATGCCTACTTTGTCATTATTCATGCTTTTAACTATGACATAGTTTTAGATTATTGGTACCTCAAACTCATTCGGTCCTTCTAACTACATTTTTTAGTGCCTGGAATTTTAGCGTGATTGATATTATTAGTTTCAATTTAGATTTTTACATCGTTAGTTACTTCAGTTGTGTTGAAGAGTGATGTGATAACTTAAACCGATGTATATATGCCAGATCTTACGTTGTCTTACACACCGTACAAAGTAACGAGAACCAAGTAGATGATTACGGCATTAGGGAAGACAATTTCAGATGTTTTAACTATTTCTGATTATTTCCACTGGTGAACCAGTTCTAAATGTTTCTATTGTATTACATGATATAGGGTACGGTTTTTTATATCTTGCTTTTCCTTATTAAGTGGTGATAGGTAGTAGAGTGGAATCCCTATAACTGAAACCTGTGTAAATGATACGCAGCAAAAAACGGAGTACTATAAGAGTAAAAACTTGATGAATATTATAATATCATCTGATTTTTTACATGAAAATAACAGTAATTAACCTATCCATACTGTGCAGAATATTGGTAACTGGAATACATAATAATGGTTGAATAATTACAGTATATTATCGAAAATTCCAGCGGTGTGTTTTAAATTTATAACAAACCCGCCGCTGAGTCTAAAAAATTAGTATCATTTCCACAAATCTTGTTTATAACTAAGAACGGACTATCAGGTATTATCGATAATATAACATTAAGAACTAAAGTACTGCAAAAAGACAATACTTAAACTAATTTTGCTCAATTATATCGATTTTCCGCTATTAGCTGAAATTAGTTATTGACTAGATTAGCATTTCTGTGAGTAGAATACCTGTCTGAAGACAAAGAGGAAATTCAAAAAGGCAACTTCGCAAGTACTCGAAAAGTTAGTTATTTGTCTAACCAAATAGCTTACTAAAATTATTCGGAGCAGATAAACGGTTTTACATAGACGAACTAACCAACTATCACTCCTTCGAAGTGTAAAACTGAAGTCAAACCTTTAGACATACAGTGATACGATTCCTGGTTTTCCCGACCTATCTCAGTAAAAACCGTACTGACTAGTACGGACTTTTTCAGTTTCTGCATTTTAAAACTAGGTTTGAATGTCATTCATTCAGTAATAAGACGTAGAACTTCGTACTTACGTAAGTACATCAGATCAGGTTGCCATACCACATTAGCACAGAGACGCAACTGTCAGTTCAAATCCCATAGTGGTAGAGGTAGCAGAAGTATTAGCAGTAATAGGAGAGATTAGGGTTCGAGGATATTATTCAAGAGTAGAATCTGGTGAAATAAACTTAAAGAGATAGATAAAGGTGATGAGGGATTCAGAAAACTAGAATTTGAAAGACAAAGAATGGATGCAGCTGCGTCACTGCAAACGATTTTGAGCCATGTCATCCAAGTTCTCTAACCATCGGCGACTTTCGTCTCGCGGACCCCAACCAGGTAGTCTACACTTACCAACATAGCTCAGTCTACTTACAAGTAACCTCATGGATTTGTGGAATGTTTTGGTTTGACCGCCCCCAGCTTTCTTCTAGCTTATCCCTACACCATAAAACATTGATCGTCGAGGCAGTCGGTGGTTAGGCATTCGTAACATATGTCTTAACCACCTCAAATGATGAAGATTCACTACTTTTTATGCTGATCTGCCATTCTTACCTAGTAGTAGTTTACTAACAACATCGCTTACTAGATGGGCACAGAATATGAGAACAATATTTCGAAGACACCTACAGTAGAAAACCAGTAACCTACAAATATCCTCTACTCTTACTGGTCATTTTTCGCACCTTGACGTTGTGGTCGGGCTTGCCTATCGTGATGACCCAACCGAGCTATACTGGCTGGAACATATGTTCCTGAAGGTCCTACCATACCAGGCAGGTCGATTGAAGAACGATGAGACTAAAAGCAGCTACCCAAGGTCTGAGGGCGAAGTCGTACTGCTGACTGAAGAGGGGTGTGATAGCAGTAAGGTGTTTCCCTCGGACAACCAAAATCTGCAGCGGTGATGCCTTCTCACAAGAAAGGATGGGTTTAGGAATGGTTGACCCTAAAAATATCACACCTCACCTTACCTCACGGATTCCCGTTTCCGGCGGTATGGTCACTTGAAAAACGGAGCCAACACTTTGCAAACTTCTCGTAAAAAGGCCGTGTGTGACCGGCCTCAAGCAGTTGTCCATTGGGCTCTGCGGTCACGATCCCAGGTCTCTAAGACCAACACTAATCTACCTTCCTTTTCAGGTAGGTTCCTCAAGAAATACCCTTCCACGGTGTGGGAAGCAGGGAAGTTACATCCGCCCTCATACCCGTAAAAGCACAGGAGACCAAATCCGTCACAATCAAATCCTGCCCACATCTCCTAATAACGCTTCTATTTCTACGACCAACCCTTCTTTCGTACCTGTCACCTCGTGCTCTTTTAGATTGGATAACAGTAGACAGTTGCTTATGCGCTGTCTGACTAAACAGGACAGTAAGGATTCGGAAAGATAGGGAAACTCGACGTTGCCTCTCTTTATCGTCTATGCCTACACTAGCACTGACTGCAGCTCAGACGCGATTAAAGGTGAGTTTTACAGAAACCTCTCTAACCTTCAAAAATTTAAGCGCTCTGATACAGTTATAATGGCTGGTGACTTTAATGCTCAAATAGGTAGACACAGTGAAAAGGAAAGACACGTGGGTGGATCTTATAGTGGAACAGCTCAAAGAACAGATAATGGTGACCGTCTGCTGCGGCTGTGCTCAGACAATTGCCTATTTCTAGCAAACACTAACTTAAAGCATAAGGAAAAACATCTCTTGACCTGGCGGCCCCCACAGACGACCCAATGATGAAGCCAACTAGACCAGATTGCTACCAGTCAACGATGGAGGGGTTTGATAGAGGACTATCGCTCGTTCTGGGACACAGGTCTAGGTTCAGATCATGCTCTAGTGCGAGCGCGTATTTATTTGAGGCTTACTGGAAGTAGGAAAGACAACGCAAGGAAACCTCTTAGGGTTCTACCTAGTGATAGCATAGCTAAGGATATATTTCAGGAACAATTATAAACAGTCAGGCGGCCATGTAAGTGATTCCTATCCAGAGGCGGCTTGGAATGATATCCAAAAGGCTGTGGAAACGGCAGTGATATCCGCTTGTAAGGTAAACCATCATTCCGTCTGGCTCAGTACAGTGAGGGCGCATGCTGACAAAAAGCTTACGCAATGATCGCGAACAGTTTTTGGAAGAGAGAAAGAGAAAGAAAGGTAACAGAATATTACTGTTTAGACTTATCAAGGAAACCGATATTAGGAATCCGACAGTAGGTGAGACTATCTCGGAAAAGCATGGGCATGCTAATCATTGTCAATCCAGGAGATTAGATCGAAGAGCAGAGAACTTTAAGGATCAGTTCAAATGGCCTTCAGCCACACTTCAGTTGCTCACGATCTTAAGTCAACCTGAAAGGCAAATCGACGTAAGTCATCCGACTATTTATGAAGCTAAGAAAGCTGCGCAATAGGCTCGTCCTTTGGTTAGCAGACGGATATCTCGCCTACGCCATCAGTGACACAAGTTGGCAAAAGCCAGTCCAACCTTCTCTATCCGTGCTGAGATTTCATCAGCACTGATGAGACTCCCGAGATAAGTGAATCGGTCAATACGCTCAACTGCTTCACTCCCTATTACTAGTTCAGGTGCCACTGCAACCCAAACCTGAAGCGACATATTGCATTTCGACGGGGAGAATCGCATCCCGAACATGTTTGCATTGTTGCTTAGGGTATTCAGAATTCTGCATTTTGTCAGCATCTTAACCTAATAGAACTGTGTCATTGGCATATTCCAAGTTAACAAGCGATTTTCCTGGTAACAGTTCAGCTCCTGAAAAGTCAGATGATGCAAGTGTCGTACCTAAAAGCACGTAAATAACAAAGTCAAACAAGAATGGAGAAAATGAACAAGCCTGACGAACACCACTTGAGGTAATTAACTTAGATGACGGTTCGTCATAAGCCCTCACTCGACCAGTGGTGTTCGAGTAAAGAGGTTGTATCAGGTTAATGTACTTCAGATACAACTATAGTGGAAGGCGAAATGTGTGTCTATGTTCCAGGTCCTGAAAACGAGTGAATATATGGTCTATACATTCATGTCCAGGTTTGAAATCAGCCTGGTTTTTAACCATTCTGCCCTTCGCGAACTCTAGTTTGGCGTCTAAGTATTATCGAGGCTAACAATTTAGAAACTATAATAGTAAAAGGGCTGTCCGCTCTCTCCATTCTTGTTTAACTTTGTTGTAGAGTTAGCACCATCATCGTCTGATTTTTCAAAGATACACGCCTGCTGACTTAGAGTATGCTGATGACAGAGTTCTATTTGGTGAAGACACTGACAACATGCAATCTTCTGACTACCCCAAGCAACCACACAAGCATATTCGGGCTGCGATTCTCCCCGTCGAAATTCAACATATTGCTTCAGGTTTGGGTTGCATCGGCAACTGAACTAGTGATAAGGAGTGAAGCAGTTGAGCGTGTTGACCGATTCACTTATCTCGGGAGTCTCATCAGTGTTGATGGCCTGGTGTCTGATGGAATCTCAGCCCCGCCCTACTATATGGATGCGAAACATGGCCGGTAGGAGTAGACGACATTTGTAGGCTATTAGTATTCGATTATAGATGTTTTCGCAGCATTGCTTTTATATCCTGGGACAACCGAGTAAGCAGCGCTGTTGTTAGGAAACGGGTGCGAGGTAAGGATTGCAGGTCAATAGATGAAGTAGTGAAACTTCATCAGTTGAGTTGGTTGGGACATGTGTTACGTATGCATAAACCCCGACTGCCTCGTCGAGTTATGTTTTGCGATGTAGGAATAGGCTGGACGAAAGCTAGGGGTAGCTAGACCAAAACATGGCAAAAATCCATGAGGTCACTAACGAAAGTACCGAGTCATGTTGGTAGATGTAGGCTACCTCGTTTGGGTCCGCGAAACGAAAGTCGCCGATGGTTAGAGACCTTGGATGACATGGCTCAAAATTGTTTGCAGTGGCGCAGGTGCATTCACTCTTAATGTTCTCTCGAATCCTAATCTTAAGAATTCCTGATCGTCTCTTTCTATTTCTAGAGTTTATCTCACTGAACTATATTTCTTGAATAATATCTTCGATCCCTAATACTATATTTTACCGTTAACGCTTCTTCTATCTCCACCACTATGGGGTTTGAACTGACAATTGCATCTCTGTGTTAATGCGGTATGGCAACCTGAACTTAAGTACTAACGTACGAAGTTCTACGTTGTGACGGACTGACCAAATTAGTTAAATTGATTCCTCTGTGATTGTCACAATAGGACTTGTGTCCATCCTTATAGATTGAGACAATCAGTGATTAAAAACATTCAGATGGGATTACGTCCAGTTCAAAAATTCTACCTAAGATCTCCGTCAATCTGTACCACCATCCTTAAAAATCTGAGGTAAGCCTGTCAGGGCCTGCTGCTCAGTGAAACTTCAGAGTTACAGATAAATAAAAAAAAACTAGGGCGTTTTTCCAATACTAAATACGTAACTAAAAGACATCCTGTAGTCTGCAATGATACTTTCTGAATGCGTAGACCTTAGTGACGGGAGCAACATCGGAAATTGATGCCACATTGAAATCGGGGTACCGTAGTCTCATATTCCCATATAGGTTATCCGAATAGTCTGCAAATTAGATTTTCAATTAAATTTGCTTTCAATGTCAAATACGTACCATCTGTTTTGGCAGTACAAAAAATATTTTACATTTAAAGTGGATGCATTTTTAAACTTTTTGACTGCATTGAAATTAAGTCATGTTTACAGTTAGGTACAAAAAAGGATTAGAAGGTGAAAACAAGCAAAACCGAGTCATTAGGGCTTAAGATACTTAAGATGCTTATTTTTTAAATAGTGTATTAGGACTCATGTGAGAAAATTAATTTTCAAACAGTAGGCAGTACTTAAGGTAACAAAAGATCATCCGAACCTAATTTCTCGAAATCCTGATTATCTTTTAGCCATATGATAACTCTAGTAGTACTCTTGAGTGCAGCCAACACTGGAGTAATAAAAATAGGTTGCTATATCGTCCGCAGCATTACAGAAGACTCAAATGTAAGTTATGCATAATAAGGCTTTCTGATTTCCAAACCAATTTTAAGGCTTTCCAATGACTTCATAGCTTTTAAAAGAATCTGCAGAAAAATAGTATCCGAAATGAAAAACTTCTTAACCGGGAAGCCAAACCACAGCTTAGGATATTTGTAACAAATTGTAACCTAGTAATACTCTTACTGAATCAGATAATTGCTAACTGTATCGTTTGAAAAGCATGAATTGACCATAAAACCAAAAACTAAATTACCTGGGGTCGGGTAACGTTATTCGTTTGCTGGCACGAGCTGCTGGAGTGGATTTACTCATCTCCATGGCCATTAAATAACTAACATCTGCCAGCACAGCTTCTAAATCAGCCATTTTGTGAAACTTTAGATTTTAAAAGATGTATATCCAGTAGGTACACTCCAACAGATAAAAGTCCAACCGCGTTATATTAAACATGAAATAAGTTCTTCATACACAGCCATAATTACGACACTCATACATCGCGGTATTTCCAAATAGTTAGAAAAACAAAAGATGGAAGACAAACTATATTACTGAGTGAAAAATGTTGAAATACGAAATCATGCGTGAGGGGCAACTCAAAAACTTATTCCAAGTGGAAACCAGTATCACTACACAAAGGAAAAAGCAAGAACCTCCGATACAATACAGCACGCAACAATCAAATCACACTTGAAGGAAAGGCTTTAGAACATGTAGAAACCTTAACATACCTGGGCAGTATCATTAATAAAAAAAAGGTGGATCTGATAAAAATGTGAAGACATGGATTGGCAAAGTAAGGGTAGCATTTCTACAATTGAAGAACGTCGGAAACTCAACAACTGTCAGTCGACACCAAATTCACAATTTCAGTACAAATGTAAAAACCGTTCAATCGCAGAAATTCTGAGAAATACGAAAACTGTCACTCAAAAGACACAGTTGTGCATCTATAGTTTTCTATGCAAGACACTACCAGTGCGCTGACCAGACATAATCAGGTACAACCAACTCTGATAGAGAACGAAGCAGGTTCCATCAGTGGAACAAGTCAGAAAGAAGCGTTGTAGGTGGATAGGATACACATTGAGGAAAGCACCCAACTGCGCCACAAGGCTTGCCGTAACTTCGAACTTTCAACGGCCACCGGAAAGAGGAAGATAAAAAAACATTCCAACGAGAAGTATGGACAGACTTCAGAAGAATTAACAACAGTGAATAATAATAATGTTTTTTCTAAAGTAACAGTATGTTAAGAGAGGCATACTAGTTTACAGGTAAGATTAAACTGTCACAAATGCTAACACATTTACTCACAAAGTTATCGCAGTTCAATTGAGTAAAAGAGTCACTGTCTGACAGCACATTTACACCACGTCACTGACAGGAACAGATTGATACAGCCATATTTTCAAAAAAAGATTACAAATAGGGAAGGTGCACATTAGACTTGCTAAGGTCAGTATTGAATTTGTTGGGAAAGGTCAATCAGAAAGCGCTTGATACTAGCTGTGACCGAGGGGTGCGTGTACATAGGGTGGGTAAGACTAGAAAGTAAAACCCAGGACAAGTAGGTAGGTGACTGCTGGGCGACAGCCTATGCCCCATTGTGTGTAACAGGCATAACTAAGTAATTTGGTAATACAAAATATTATCTGTCAGTGGCACACGAACACTTTAGATACTTATCCGAGATTCCTTGGGATAATTTACCTTGTCATCATGATTGTTGATCTGCATAATTGAATCAGAGAACAGGTAATTTATGTATCTTATACATATGTTTTGCATTCCACCAACTCGCTTTTTTGTATGGTTTTTGGATCATTACTGAGTTACGAGATTTGCGTAACTATTTTGGTTACACCACATCTCTAGCTGTTCTTTATGATAAAGGAAGATAAGTTTAGTTTAACCCAGCATGACACCATACCATAGCTTTTCCATTCCGTGAATATTTGTATCACATAGCACCGCAGGCTACAAAGAATTTCTTATTCAATTTTTCCTTAACAGCTTCTCTGATGAGCTGTGATTTCCAACAAGGATTTGTCTTACGCCCCGTGTTTGTATCAGATAAAGTGAAGAATGCATGCATCCTAATGTAAACAATATTGTTGGTACGGTAACTGAAACAGTTCACCAAACAACGATGCTATAGTATTTATTTTATGTTTTCTCTTCAAGGTTCAGATTTCAGCTGATTTTCCTCATTTTTTTACAGTTTTACTTCAAAATAGATTGTTAAGGAAAACAAAAACATTATTCAGGGCTACAATCGCCATTTAGAAGCGTTAGATTAAAACAGCTGCTACTGAGCTGCCAATAATACACTTTCTGGTTAGATACACGCGTGATTAAATTACTACATTTCATCTAATTATATGATAATATATTTATTCTCAAATAATAGCTTGTTACAAGAGGCATGTCAGTATGTATTACGATTTGTGAATTGCAAGTTATCACAGTTACATGTGTGATTCGTTGACCATAGGTTACAAGTCCTATTATTATAACGTAACTTATGTTTAGATACAAGACTTATCGGTACCAAAATATTGAACAGAAAGAGTCAGCAACATCATAACACAAATATATACATGGAGGGATTTTCCGAAAAACGAAGCCTTCAAAATGGATTCTACAATCCTTTTGATGTTCCTTTAGCTTGTTCGTAGATTTTATTGTTGAACTGAAAATATGTTGTTGAACAAAAATAGATGAGTTCTAGAGGACTGTAAAGTTTGGTGTATTTAGAGAGATTTTTGTCGTTAATGCGGAGCAAAGAAAGCGTTTCCTTTTCTAAATATGTTTTCATTAAAACGAATAAAGCTGTTTCGTTGGAAGGTATCATCAGCTCGTGAATGTTGGCTTTAATCACCCTAACCTTGTTACGGGAGAAACGAAGACATTTTGCTGATCAAAACCTTCATGTATAAATATCATTAATTTCACTGTTTTTGGGTACATTTGTTTTACTTAACTTGTGAACTTGTTTGAATTATTATTTGCGGACATTTTGGACTCCCGTTTCTCTTTGTTGTTCGTTTGCAGTTTTTTGCTCCAAGAGCTAATAAATTAGAAGAATGACATTGGTCGTCTATTTGTAATACAGTATTTTGGTCGAATTTGTGATTTGGAATAAACTTTGGTATCTACTTTGGAGTTTCGTTCTTGGTTTAAACATTTGGGGACTGTGAATTACAAATAGCTCGACAACCGTGCTTCGTAAGATCAACGAGCAAAAAACTGGACGTAACAAAAGTTCTTCTAGTTTATTTTGTCATATATTGGATTTTTGGTCGTTTGGCTCCAGAGGTTCTTCAATTCAAATTTGGTCGTTGGAAACTTTTGGAAATTTGGGTCCAAAAGTTCTTCTTACTTTTAATTTGGTCGTTGGATACTCTGGACTATTCAATTTGGTGCTTTGGTTATAATTTGGATACTTTTGGACGTTTTGTTATTATTGGCCGAATACGCTTGGATTAATTTCACATTTGCTTGGTAATCGATTTCGAATAAAAACATACAATGGAAACTAGAAGCAAAAGGCTGAAGGAGCAGGACGAAATGGATGGTAAATTTTCTAAAGCTGTTTGTGGTATGTCTGATGTTAATGATGATAAACTTGATGATATTAGTGTTAATAGTAAGTCTTCCTCTCAGTTTAGTACTTCTAGATTGAAGTTAGATAAGGCATTACTAAGGAAGAAGAATTTGGAAAAGAGACTTGAGTTAGAAGAACAGCTTAAAATGTTAGAACTTCAAGAGGAGGTTGAAATGGCCGAATTAGAATGTAAGGTCATGGAAAACGATATGGAAGTGACAAGTTATCTGCGTGCGAGACAGGGGGATTCTTCAAATGCATTTACATCTACCTCACACCCGGAATTTGAGAGAGTTGTTAATTGTATCAGAAAATTATACCCTCTTGAAGAAGGAGTATGTGACCCCGATGGTTTAGAACCCCTTGTAGAATTCTTTTTGAATGTTTTGTGTTTTGGAAAATCCCTCCATGTTTACACGTTTTTGCTATGACATGATGGACTTTTTCTCTTGACATTTTTGGTATTTTATTTGATTCCAATTTGAGATTTATCATTGTATATTGTTATTCTTTCTATATTTGTACTTATATTGAAGTTTTTGGGTTTGCTTCTGAACTGTACATATATTGTTTAAATTTGATATAATATGGCTACCGCCACATTTTTTGGACGGACGCGGTGGCTGCTGGACTTAGTTTCACTTATTGGTGATTGTGTTGGATACTCTGCGGAGTAACTTAACCCTGGAAGAAACACAAATTCCGTAAGGCTTTGTATTTCCATTTTCTAATGATACAGAGACGTTTTCTCCTAGAATTTTGTCCTTTTTTGCATTGGTTGGGACCCGGAACTAGGAAAGGCGTACAGGAGTGTTTCTATTGGAAACAATTGGGACAGCCACTGTCGAAATAAATTTACAGTCTGGAATTTCTTCTTTCGTGGATTATACTTTGGAAATATTCATCTGAACGTATATATTTTGGAACTATTCGGATTATTAAGAATTATAAAGAAACATTTGGAATTTTAATCGTTTATCACACTAGACTTCCTTGGAGGAAGAAGTTGGATTATTCACCGTATTTTTGAACTGAACTGTGGAATTACTATTTTGTATTTGTTACCTTTTCTACTGAACTTTATTTATGATGTCAAACAGAAAAAAATCACACATGAGGACCGTGGAAGAGCTCGACGGATCACAGGGCTCTAGGCAAGTCGTTAATGATAACTTTTTTATGGGTAACCCACATGTTATGTCTGATATTTATTATTGTAAGTCATCGATAGAGGGTTTAGAACTACCTAAGGTTGAACTCTCATTTTTTGATGGAAGGTCTCGCGACTATTTTAGGTTCATACGACAGATAGAAACGTTTATAGAACCTCGAATAAAGGATGATCAAGTGCGTTTATTGTATTTAATTCATTATTGTAAGGGAAAAGCAAAAAATGCGATTGAAGGCTGTATTATTATGGATCCACAATCAGGATATAAGAGAGCTAAGGCCATTCTAAAACAGCTCTTTGGACAGTCGCATGTAATAGCCCGAGAAACCTTAGAGGACTTATTTAGAACTGGGAATGTAGAATTTAATGATCCTGAATCATTGACGAACTTGGCTATTAAAATGCAGAACGCTGCTTTAACTTTAGAACAGTTAAATTGTACAGCTGAACTTAACTCTATGGCTACTTTAGAACGAATAGTAAGGCTCCTACCTCGTCGAATGCAAGCCCAGTGGGCAGAGCTAGTAATCAAGTGGGACGAAGAGGAGAGAGATCCTAATTTTAACGAATTGACGGAATTTATTATGTCTCGTGCTAAGATAGCTAGTAGTAGGTTTGGAAGATTAGCTTATCACTTTAAAACAGGAAATAATACGGAAGCTACTAGTGGTCTGTGTGCGAGACATGAGGATTTTTCGTTTCTACCTAAAGCACGCTCGGAA